CTTATTAATAACTAATTATAGGATAATTTTAAACGCTTCGCGTCGTCCGCCTCGGCCCGGCCGCAAACAAAGAGGGCCAACGAACTGCTGGTGCCTTGAAGGCGCCGTTGGCGGAGCGGACGAGGACCGGGGAAGGGGAGGAGATTGCATACAAACAAGCAGAGGCGGCGCATCAAGTTGCCAAAAGCGGAAGCAAGGGCACCGTATAGGGCTGTTTAGGGTTTTAGGGTTTAGGCTTAGGGTTTAGGGCCGAAACCATGTAAGGCTGTTTAGGGTGTTATGAGCCAGGCGGGTTCTATTGAATGACTTGACCAGAAACTCCTTGCCTTAGGCTACGACCTTCATTATCTTTCGTCTGCTTGCAGGCCGCCCTAAACCCTAAACCCTAAACCCTCAACCCTAAACCCCTGAGACGCTCTGAGGTTGATGGTCTTGGGTTGAGGTTTGAGGGAGCTCCAAGCCGCAGCACCCCCAGTTCCTGATTCAGTTCCGCACCGTAAAACCTAGAGCCTAAAAGGGAACCTGACAATTAGAATAGGGTTTTGGAGTATAGTATACTAGTATTATCATAAGGATCCCCCCCCAAAATAGTGATTTAGGCCCCTCCCATATTGCCTTGCAGCGCGAAGCGCTCGGATGCAAGCAGGAGCAGCGAGTTCGCTGCGCTCCACGACAACTCGGCAGGTGCTGACCGGCTTGCTGGCTTAAACTGGGCTTAGGGTTTAGGGCTTGTGGGCTTCGGGTTAGGGCTTATGGGTTTAGGAGGCTTATGGGCTTAGGGTTAGGGCTTATGGGTTTAGGGTTTAGGGCTTCGTGTTGAAACTTCTCACAACTTGCCACCCAACTCTGGAACGAATCGTTTGTGCTTGTCTTGGAGACTAGAAGTCATAGCCAGCAAAACCCCAAGCCCGTAAACTTCAATCAAGCTTCATGTGAAACCCTGAATCCCAATTCCCTGTACCCGAAGCCCTCAAATCCTTGAACACCCTCAACCCCTAAATCCTAAGCCCTAAACCCCTAAACCCTAGACTCTAAACCCTACACCCCAAACTTTAAACCCACACTGCACCCTAAACCTAAACCCTAAACCCAAATCCTTGAACCCTTGGCCCCAGAGCCTTGCCCTGTAAACCCTAAATCCTAGATTTCTTTCCGTTTAAAGCAGGATTTGGGATGATTCTAACCCCTGGGCCCCAAGCACTGCAGGAACCATGATGCATATTATAGGTAATTCAATGAGCTGTAGACCCAGGATCCCAAATGCTCAACCCTAAACCCTAAACCCTAAACCCTAAACCCTGAACCCTAATCCCTAAACCCTAAACCCTAAGCCCTAAACCCTAAACCCTAAAAAAGCCCTGAGCCTGAGCCCTAGACCCAGGCTTTGGAATGATCTTCAACCAGGACCTTCAGACGCTCCTTTCGGCCGGGGGACTTTACGGTATCCGATTTCCGACGATCGAGCAGATGAAGATGGTCGGGGACACGTTGTGCCTGGGAGAGTTTAGGAAAGGGTTTAGGGTATTAGGGTACTAGGGTACTAGCAGAGATTAGGGTTTCAAGGGTTTAGGATTTAGGGTTTAGGGTTTAGGGTTTAGTAGTTTCTG